TATCTATACTGCAAAGAATCCGCTCCTGTGAACTCCACCCAATATATTTAGATTTCAGCAAGGCATTCGACAAAGTAGACCACAACCTACTTCTTAGTAAGCTAGAAAAATAGCACCACTGCTAGATGGACTCACAACTGGCTGGCAAACCATACTCAACAGAGAAAAGTAAAGTCCTACACTTGGGCAAGAAAAACCAAAAGTACACATATAGACTGGGTGAAACCAGGCTCAATAGCAGTAACTGTGAGAGGGATCTTGGAGTCTTAGTAGACAACCAGCTAAATATGAGCCAGCAGTGTGCAGCAGCAGCCAAAAAAGCTAATGCAATCTTAAACTGTATTAACAGAGGCATATAACCAAGATCAAGGGAAGTACTAATACCACTCTATAAAGCCTTAGTAAGACCACACCTTGAGTATTGCATCCAGTTTTGTTCACCACATTATAAAAAAGATGTTGAGACTCTAGAAAAAGTACAGAGAAGAGCAACCAGGATGATTAGGGGACTGGAGGCTAACACATACAACAAACAGTTGCAGGAACTGGGCTTGGCTAGTCTAGTAAAGAGAAGGACCAGGGGAGACATGATAGCGGTCTTCCAATATTTGAGGGGCTGCCACAGGGAGGAAGGAGTCAAGCTATTTTCTAAAGCGCCTGTAGGCCAGATAAGGAATAATGGATGGAAACTGAACAAGGAGATATTTAACCTGGAAATAAGTAGAAACTTTCTGACAGTGAGAACAATCAACCAATGGAACACCTTGCTCTTGGAAGTTGTGGGAATGCCATCACTTGAGACTTTCAGGAAGAGATTGGACTGCCATTTGTCAGAAATGGTGTAGAGTCTCCTGCTTGGGCAGGAGGTTGGACTAGATGACCTACAAGGTCCCTTCCAACTCTGATTATCTGTTATCTGAGAAAAGACCTGTACATTGACTACTGTGCTGACTGCATCAAAAGAAAATCACACAACCCACAATTTCACATCCAACCCTACCTTATCCAACCCACCATCACTCAAAACTAGGCATGCATGCTCCTAACTACCTCTATTCCAACTGCAACTGGCCTTAAATGCAAGCTACTCAGTGCAAGAAGCCTTGTAAATAAAATACCTGAATTTCTCCTCTTACTAAATATGGCTAAATGCAACATCATATTTGTGTGTGAAACATGGCTCAACACATCTCACCCTGACTCCATTACTACAGTAAGAGACTATTATGTTTACTGATCAGATTGTGAAATCCATAGAGGAGGTGATGTTGCTATCTGCTATAAAAAGTCCCTAAATCTAAAAAGCATCCAAGTTACCCAGGTCTCTTCCTGAGACCATCGTCTGTGAACTGTCCTTAAATATCATATTTCGATTCTTACTATGTTGCAAGGCCCCTGATTATGACATTGAAAATGTAAACAAGTTAACTTCACTACTAACATGGGCAACATCCTGCCTACATGCTTTTATCTTTCTTGGTGACCTCAATCTACCTCATATTAACTGGACCCTAAATGAGTGTAAAAATGAACTCATACATGCAACCTTTGAAAACGCTGTAACAAATCTGGGACTGGAACAACTAGTAACCAACAACATTAGACTTCACAACTGCCTCAATCTCATCTTCTGCAATAGTTTGAATTCAGTTTACGGAATACAAATTAAAGAACCTTTTTCCAACAGTGACCATAGCATGATTGACTTTTGTCTCAACATATGTCCACAGAAAAATCATCATAACAACAGGATCCCCAATTATAACTTCAAAAAAGACAACTATGATCTTATAGACAACGATCTCTCATCTCTTGATTGGCAACTTCTATTCACTGGAATGCAATACTGTTGAAGACCAATACAACATATTTTTACTTGAAGTCAAAAGAGTCATCAAATTATATGTATCAATAACAACCCCCAAAACTAGAAAACACAAATTACCCATAACAACAAGGAAGCTTCAATCCAAAAAGAAATCACATTGGCGGAAAAACAAATCTAGTCTTGTTGCCAACTTCAAAAGCAAATACAAATATATATGCCACCAGATAAAGACTGAATGCCCCAATTATCACATTAAACAAGAGCAATATTATGCAATATTAGAAGGAAGAGAAGATTTGATAGAAGCTAGAAAGTTACCTTTAAGTTGGTCTGCACAGACTTGTGAATTGTATGCCTTAAATCAAGCTTTGAATTCCTTTGAAGCTCGAGATAGTAATTAGCTGACTTGGAAGCCAGGATAGCAGCGGCAGAAGGAACTGAATGTTTAATGTTCATTGAGAAGAAGGAGTTAGAGAAAATGAGAGCCATAGAACATGGAGAAGGCAAATGGGTATTATCTGATGGAAGGCAAATGTGTGATTTGTTTTTGGAAGCATGTGGATGCTGTAGATTGTATACAGTACCTAAACATATATGTGACAAATGTATCATATGTAAAAGAGTTAATAAACAAGTTTTACAACATAAAGGGGGAGGGCGGCATTTAGTGTGAGAACATTTCAAGTTGATTTTATTAACCTAACTCGGTTGGGGATCTATTGGTGATAGTGGATCATGACTGGATGAGTGGATGAGTTGCAACTTATAAAGCCATGAGAACCACTGCATCAATAGTCACCAATATTATACTGGAACAGATAATACCTAAATATAGGATAATAGAACTTATAAACAGCAACCAAAGGACTAATTTTACTGCAAAAGTGGTTCAATCGATCATGGAGGGAATTCAGTGGGAATGTCATGTTCTGCGGAACACAAATTCATCTATGCCATGGACCAAATGTTTACCCTTGGCCTTGTTCAGAATTCTAACCTGTCCAAAGAGGGATACTCTGCAATTGCCTAGCTGATGGTATAGAGCATGTATATTAGGAACTGTGAAAGTTAGGGGTTTTTTTCTACCGCCCATACAACAATTTGAATGACTGGGTGTACCTGTTTATAAAGGAAGTAGGCAGTGGCAGATTAAGGCTCACTGTAAGCACTGACAAATCTTGGTGCCCCCCTCCTTTGTACATACTCTACAAATGAAGCCATCTTCTCAACTTTATGGTCTCTCTTTGGATCTGGTGCCCTAAGCACATGCTTAGCCTGCTTAATGGTTAATATACCACTGGAAGTAGGCCACAGATCTAAGAGAGAGTTGCAAATAGGAGATTGGAAAAATGATGTATGGCCTTCTGAAAGAATAATTCAGACATAGAGATCAGCTATCTGAGTGAGCGATGGAATGTATGGTTATAGAATTCTCATTTATATGCTGAATAGAATTATGAGGTTATAGGCAATGCTTGAAATAATAACTAATGAAATCACTATTGCTTTTAATAGCTAAACAGCATTCTCAATTTAAAACAACAATATATGAGAATAGATTTGCTTTACACTATTTGTCAGCAAAAGAAGGATGTGTATGTGGAAAATCTAATCTCACACATTGTTTACAAAATTGGACAAAGCTATAGAGGAGATAAATGTCAAAGTGGGGAAATCTGGCCATGTCCCAGTGTAGACTTGGACTCGGGCAATTGACTTCAACTGGTGTAGCAGGATCTTTTCTGACTGGAAAAGGGTTGAATTCCTATTATTTTTTAGCCTTTGGAGGTTTTCTAAGTTTACCATCATTGGGATGACAGTTTCCCAACCACCCTGATAGACCAACTCAAATCATGAGCCTTAAAATCATCCCCAAGGAATATGCTCCCCTAGTCCACCCTTGACAGGAAACATCCTGCTGTAAAGAAAAGAGAGGAATAAAGGGACATAGTGACATGAATCAATCTAACCTTTGCTATTTGTTTCTATTAATAATTCCTTGTGCTACTTTGCTATTGTTAGGAATAGGAATTAATTCTGTAACTCTAGCTTATTAAGAATTGTAATATTTGCTACTAGTCTAACTTTTGCTATCTCTGTTGTTTGGTTCAAAGCTAGGCACATCCTTGGAGAATAAATAAGAAAGATAGAGCAGGGAGTTACCAGGAACATCCTGCTCCATAGATAACGGGGCCAGGGCAGGGCCCTGCCCAGGAGCACAATCACACAAGGCTACAAGGAATGTTATGTAAGATAATAAAAGCATGGACAGGGCATGGACAAAGGGCAAAGAAAGCTCCATAGATAAGGGGGGACATGGGCAAGACATTGCCCACATTGGGTAACAAACTTTTGTCTCTGATTGTGAGTATAGATGTTGGGATCACACTCTTCTCGGGAGTGGTCTTTTCCTTGCATGCTTGTCTGTATGCTGTGGAAAAAGTCCACCTACCTCTTTGTACAAATTAAAGCTGTTACTTTTTCAAACCTCTTCTTAAGTCTCTCTTAAGTCTATTTAACAGTCTATTTCAGCAGCTTCTTTATCTAGGCTTTTGTGAGTAGTTCTCATTTAACTGGTAATTGGGAACAGAATTTTCATCATTAAACAATGTGGTTATAAAAGTATGATGTCATACTATTTCTCTGCATAACAATAGCAGGCCCTGTTACTGTCATTAAATGAGGACAACCTGAGTTAAGTGAGGATTTCATGTTTCTGACTTCCTGCTGCTTCCAATTTGCTTATGGGAAGCCAGCAAGGGAATATTTGGCAACACCATGGATATTAATGATTTTATGGTCTGCCAAAAATAGGAAATATACATTCCTCCCATCATTCAGTCCTAGTTCATGGTTTGTTATACCCAATTACCTTCATCCGCACAATCGAGTGCCTTTTTGTATAATGCAATGCTATATATTTTCCAACCCCAATATTACACCTCCGTGGAGTTGCGCGAGCACAGCCACACAGTGTGGAATTTAAAACTTCAGCTTCAGCACGGAGTGCCAACGCTCCGAGGGGAATTGCCTCTTAAACGGGCGCCAGAGGGCGTCCATGGCTACGGCGTCGTCTTAGAGCAGGACTGTGGCCCCACGCGACCTGGGCTGGAGTTGGCGTGAAGTAGCGCTCCGGATTCAGGAGGAGTCTAAACTCTCGCTAGCTGCGCTTTTCGCTGCTACTCGAGACTTTGGACGACGCGGATTCGGGGGCTTTGGCTTAATCCCATTTTTATTGTTGGTGGCGAAGGAGCTGTTTGAATGCTACAAGCTGCTGCGAAGGCGTTTTGTTCTCTGCTGCTGATCCTGCCTCCTCAAAGCCGAAGCGCGGGCGGCAGGCAGGCGGCCACGCAGCTCTCAGTTGCCGCAGGAAAGGGCTTTTCTTAGTCGGCGTGCGAAGGGGCGCACTTTGAAAACTAAAGAATGGCTGGATTTCCCTGGGAAGGCAAGCGGGGTGGATTTAAAGTCCTAGTGGCGACGCTTTCCGTGGCCTTGGTTTATTCCTATAACATCGATCTGGATCATCCCGTGATTTATCAAGGACCCAATAACTCTTTCTTCGGATACTCGGTGCTGGAGCATTACTACGACAATACCCGATGGTGAGTATCAGGTCATTCCCGAGAGAGGGAAATGGGAACACGCCTTTTCCTTATTCAAACATTCTGTGAATTTGCTCAGTTCATATATCTTAACCCTTCCTCCTCCCGCCTTGAAAAAGAAAAATGCCAAGAAGCTTGTTTTAAATATAATCTTCCGATGAGCCAACTCCACTCTTACGAACCAGTTGCTTCCAGGAAAGCCCTGTTACAACTGCTCTGGACATGCGCAGAGGCGAATCGGTGTTGATTCTTTCAGCTACAAACCATCCAACTTTGTGTTATCTGCATAGTATGAACTTTGTGCAGTTGATTATTTTTGATAGTCCAGGATTTTATGCAATGCCAGCAAGTAAATCATGGGTTAAACACAGCTGTCTAAGAATATTGTGTATGAATCCAGGCTTATGCTGAAAAGTTGCCTGCAAATCCAGGACCCTGAGCTATTATCTCTCCTTTTCATTAACAGACAATTTTTGGGATAGCAACCACACAGAAGGTGTGGTAGAAATATGAGAATTGTAAGGAAAACCAGCAACGTCTGGATTCTTTGGGAAATATCAGGAATAAGATGCAGGAATTGTGCAATAAAAGCCTGGCCCAAATTCTGTGAATGTAATTTCACAATAAAAAACTACCTTAATAGTCTTGTGGACCATCAAACTCTGATCTCAAAAATGAGAGACTGATTTCAGCTCCAATAGATGGTTCTTATGCAGCTTCAGTCTAAAAACTCCCAAGGAAGAACCCACCATTCCTTGGAGACATTGTTTCCTTTATCATACTATTGTTTATGAATTTGTCATCCTGTGCTTTAAATCTGTGGGATCTAGTCTTTCCTGTGGGCAGCTGTTTTATGATTGATTTACAATGGATATATTTAAGGGTTGCTTTTAAATCAGTTCTCTATTTTACTAAGTCACATGAGTTTCTGTCCTATGCCCTGAAGAAGCCATGGTTTAAATTAAATTTTAGTTGTCTTGAATGCTGTTGATTGCATGGAAGAGAGAAAATGGTTAATATAAAAATTCTGCACACAGTGGTCTTTCTTCCTCTCATAGGCATGAGAGAATAATATTGCTTGGCTGCCTTTTAGCATCTGGAAGGGAAATGGATTGTTAGCTTTCTCGAACTACTTTTGCTGCAGTACATAAGACAATATCCACATATTGATGATGCAATTTCCTTATGGAATGACCAACTCAGTGGTGGGATTCAATTTTTTTTACTACCAGTTCTGTGGGCTTGGCTTGGTGGGCGTAGCGTGGCTTGGTGGGCGTGACAGGGGAAGGATACTGTAAAATCTCCATTCTCTTCCACCCCACTAACCTGCTTTCCAGCTCTGTTCTCCTATGCAGGGCAACAAAAGAGCCAGCCAATCAGCTGGGACTCGGGAGGCAGAGAATAGATAGGGGCGGGACTAGTCAGTTTTCAGAACTACTCAAAATTTCGGCTACCAGTTCTGGTCAGAATCTGGTGAATACCACCTCTGGACCAATGGTAGTGTTATTTATTTGAATGTGTATGTGCATGTGTGTACTAAGAGGAGGATGTTGGGGATAGTGTAATGTATAACAATCTAGTAATAAGGAACCATTTTGTATTCTGTATTCTCTCTCTCTCTCTATCTATTTATTTGTGTTGTGGAGTAGATAGCCATGTTTTAGTTGAGCAGAAGTGTTATATGAATCTTGCCCTATGGTTTATTCATAATTTGGTATGTTGTTCCAGTCCAGAAAAGTAGGTTAAATCATGGATACATATCAGTCAGACACATCATTTTGTGAGAAGTCTTAGCAAGTATGGATTGAGTGAAGAAATGGATGAGTCTCCTTATCTGTGAGTTTTTAGAAAATACATAGGAAATTGTTTTGATGGTTAGCAGCTAGGAATAAACATGCTAGTAGCTTAATCTGTTTGAATCTTGCAAATATCTGGGGTTAAGAGCTAGTATAGCTCTAAACTCTGAAAATAGCATTTGGCAACCCAGTGTAATGTAAGAATTGAAGAATTACTTTCCTGAATCAGCCCATGAAGCCTAGTGTCAGTTTCCAAAACAAATCAACTACACCAAGAATCTCAGAGTGTTTGCAGTGTGACTACTATTGTGAGACAACCCAGGAGCAAAACACAGAACATAGAGGCTTTGCTTTTTAACAGTGGTTTATAAGACAGCTATATGCAGTGGTTTACAAGACAGCTTTATGCATACATATACATGGCAGGCAAACACCTGGCAATCAATCAATCTTCTTTATTCTGCACGAACTAGAATGGAGATAGAACATGAGAGAGAGAGAGATACACCCTCTCATAGATAGATAGATAGATATAGATAAATATAGATATAGTTAGAGATAGGTAGGTAGGTAGGTAGATAGCTTCTTAAAGTGGTAAAACCCCGTGGGACCAACCCTCAATCTTAAAGTGGCAATAACCAGGCTGATTCATCCTCATTGCATCAGCCTTACAACAGCTGATCAGCTATTAAATCTCAATACCTTAACAAAGAATCTAATAAGTTTTGTTCCTTGATATTAGCTTGCAGAGTAATCTGGAGAATGTTTGCTAGTGGTGTTATTTGAAAGACTACAGTTGTTGCAGATTTTTAATTAAAAGTAAAATGCTTTCAGAAGTGTAGGAGCTTTATCCTGATTGAAGCACAGTCCAAGTTGCAATTTGCTTATGTAGTGCAGGTTGAATAAGCTGTAATTTGCTTGTTTATGCAGCATGCTAAATCAAGAACAAACCTGCATTCAACCAGAATTTAGTATTACAAAATTGCTTTTCTTTCAGCTCAAGTTATCAACTTTAAATAGCAGTGATGTAGTGAAAAAGTTCATTTTTCACTAGCTCATATGAGGTTCTTTTTGGCTGTTTGTTAGTGTTTGGGGATAAACCCCCGAGCTGAGTGCACAGCAGCAGTCAAGCCAGGCAGCCAAATGAGAGTGAGGCTGGGCCCTAGAGTATACACACACTTGAGACAAATACACTGTTTGTGGTTTAAATAGGTATTTAATTCATACAGAGATTAAGAATAGTCATTCAGTCCATATATCAGTATCCAGTTTATCAATCCAGTTATCAAGCCCATTTACAGTAAATACAATGTTCTTATCTGCTTGTAAATCTTCTTCTTAAGATACCTTTCTCTCAAGTACTAACGCTGAATCCACAGCTCACCAGTAAACAGTCCTTGTGTTCAGGTGAAATGGTATCTGGCACAGTAGCCTCCAAGGTAAGCAGATAGACGTTCCAATACACAGCAGACAGCAGACCTGGAACAGTAACCAGGTGCATCTAGAAGGCGGACTCAGACAGTTGCATCCAGAAGCCGGACTCAGACAGTTGCATCCAGAAGCCGGGGATATTACGTTTCCCTCCTACCTTTATGGCTGCCTGCAACCGCACCCACAATGACATTGCAGTTTCTTGCTTAAAGCTGCAAAGCACTTAATCCTAGGTTTACATATTTATTCAACCCAAACCAGTTGGAGTATCCATATACCCAACACTGTTCAAGTTATTGGACAAAATCTGGATAATTTGAAACAAATGTTTACATATAATTAATGAGATCAATAGGGAATTTATCCAGTGGTGGGATTCAGCCAGGATGGCCTGGTTTGGGCAAACCGGTAGTAAAAATTCTGGCTGGTCCCCCCACCCACCCCCACTACTTATTGGACTTGCACACCTTGGCTGGTGCCTTAGACTTATACTGTGGCATAGCTGTAGCTGCTCTTTGGCTCCCTTGCTTCGACCACATGGCCCAGCCTACTTGCCTGCCTTTGCTGGGGCCTACAGTGCGACAGCTTCTTGCTCATCTGACTTGGCCTGCTCTTGACTGTTCCAGCAGCAGAACAGCCAGGTAAGCAGAGGCGGGTTCCCCTCTCGGAGAAGCAGGGCTGGGAAGGATGGTCGGCTGCGGCCTTGCCCTGCAGCCTGCCCCTTGCGCATTACATTTAAACTTAGCGTGCTTCACAAATGAGGAAGTGCCGGCATCCTCTCCTCATTTGTGAAGCACAGCGCTAAATTTAAAAGTACTGGGCAGCATGAGACAGACTACTCCCAGCAAGAGCAATTGGGGCTGGGGGAGAGATGAGTGACTTTTCTTCCCAGACAGTGACCAACGCCATGGAGGATAGAGAGACACAGAGAGAGAGAGTGGGAGAGAGAGAGAGAGGTATGAGAAACAGGGAGAAAGAAAGAGAAAGCTATACTATACTACCATTAGTATTCCAGAAGCAACATGCTCCCTTCCAGTTTCTACAGCCCTGCTAGCAGGAACAGCAGCACACGGATATGCCGCTGCCTTCTCCATCTCCCTCTCAGCTGCTGGGGGAAGCCAAGTGAAGAAGAGAATGGCAACTTTAGCAAATGAATAAAAACTGGTTATACTGCTCCTCCTTCGCTAACGCCCAACGAGGGAGAAGCTGCTCTGCCACAACTCTGCCACGAATGGGTGTTGAGGGGCATGAAATCAGTTTTTATTCCTTTGCTAAAGCTACCATTCCCTTCTTCACATGGCTTCACCCAGCAGCTGAGAAGGAGAGGGACAAGTGGCTGAAACACCCCATACATTCTCTGCACTGGCTGCTTTTTGTGATTCTTTTTGTGGTGCCCTTTCATGTCGGCTCAGGAAGGAGGGGAATGGGGAGGAGCAACTGCCATTGCCGAATGCAGGGAGGGAAAGAGCTCTGGCTCTCCTTTGCAGCGAGTGGTTACTTACCCGAGCATGCAGTGGTGGCAGTGAGAGGAGGAATCGCTGTCCCCACTGCTGCCGTGATCCCAGCCCAGGAGGGTATCCGCTTGTGCGTGTGCGCATGTGTGTGCATGCAAAAGAGATGAAAGAGAGGAAAGGGGTAAGAAAGAAATGGAAAAACAATGGAGGGAGAGAATGAAAGAAAGAAAAGATGATTAAATGGGCGCTGGTATAATCACCTGAGAAAGCCCTTTCTATCTACACTGCAAGAGAGTCCAGGATGGGTATGACTCCTCCC